GCTGAGTTTTCTCATGTAAAGCTAAATGACTGAGTTGAAGCTTTAATGGCAAAATAGCACTCAGCCTTAACTACAGCTACTACCTTAATTACAGCCTTAGCTACAGCTACTGCCTTCACTGCAGCCTTAACTACCCACTGCTACTGGAACTGTTGCTTCGATCTCTCTCTGTCTTAACTTTTCTGTGTGATCTGTGGCTGTCATTTTCCCTGCTCAGGATGCTCTAACATATGTCCTTCTCCTGAAGAATTTCATTTATCCATTTTGCTACTCCTCTGGTGTTCCCCTTCATCTCAGCCCTTCGCTACCCAGCATGGGGGGAAAGCACAGGCAGCCTTTTGTGCTGGTGGGTAGCTTCTGTCTCTGAAAGCCAGCTTGGAGACAGTGATTACCAGGGGGTGAAGAAGGGACTCTAGCATCCAAGCAACAGCAGAAACAGCTAGACATGGGAGGACTTCAGTGCACCTGTACAGCCTCCTGTATTGAGGTAACTTCATGCATAAGAAAAACAGAGGGAAGGAGACTTCCTGTTCCTCCCTCTCTGCAGAAACTCTGCCTCCAGCTGTGAGACCTAAAGAATGGCACTCAAAGAAGCTTTTCTTCTTCCCCAAATGGCACTATCTTAAGGCATGGGACCAAAGGACCCAGGCATGGGTGCTCATCTTTGATGGGACCTGAGGACCCATCAGGAAGTGTAACACATGATCGGTCACACTGTGGAGTAGGGTCACACAGCTTTCCCTGTGCTTCTTGATCAGCCAACTGCTTCTCTGGAAAAGCAGTTACTCTGTAGTCCCAGATAAGCCATACATGTGCAGTCGATTTGTGTGTGCACAGTGCAGGTCTCTCTTATCTACATAATGATGACGTGTACATCACAGGCACATCACATCGATGCTGAAGATATGACACTGGTTGTCTCAGATCTACTGTAGCTGCACTGTATCTTGATTTGCACGGATCAAGAACTACTTTTCTAGTTTCTCAGATTAAATTCAGAATAGATAAATCAAGGTTGTATACATTTCTTTCTGAATGCCTGACTTAACCTGTCCAGGGCTATCCTGGATTTCACCATTGCACTCTGGCTTATTTCCTCTGGTTGAAATCCCACGTAAATGCTTTGCTAAGGTCCCCCAAGATCCTTAAGATTACTCTGTCCTAGAGTCATAGCTGTGAATGACCATTCAGAGAGCCCTTCCTGCCCCAGGCAGACTAGCCTGGGAAAATCCACATCACCCTTGAAATAAACACTGCCAAATTCAGTGCTTTTTTTTGCAGCGGTACCCGCAGGCAGCAACTGCTTCTTGATCTTGCTGAGCGATATACTTATTTGTTATCAAGGGCAGATTGTGGCTTTTGCTGCACAGAGATGTAGCAGAATGATGAGGAGATGGCCTAGGGGAAGAGGCAGGGAATGTTGCTCTTGACACACGTATATTGAATAATTAGTGATAAGAGCCAAAGAAATATTCATGGCTCTGTAGAAAGATAAATAGATTTTTGATTAAATTTGAGTTTTCTCTTTAAAGCAGTTGAAGTTGCTGTGTGATTGGCAGCATGGAAATGAGTTTTCTATGGATTCTGGCTGGCCGGAGGATCCCTTTTAGAGCTGTTAGCTAAGATAATGCTGCATATATATAGCTAGTGTGTGCTGGCAAGAATCAGAATGGCTATGCCAGAAACCTGTGCTCTCTGGGCAGTTGCAATGCAGCTGTTGAATGATCGAATCAATCCAACTTGTTCAAAGGATTTATTACAGCATTTTCTCCAGCCACTCTCCTAGATTTTAGCAGAATTTCAGTGGTGCCTTGTAAGACACCTAGCAGATTTCGCTGCACTCCAGCTGACCTTAGGAAAGTAAATAATTTAAGTGCGTTTACTAGTGGGACATACCTATCTTGGGTACTTCACAACACTTATATTGTTCTTTTCAAGGATGTTAGCACAGGAAGCTGTCACGGGGTGGTTGCATTGCTCAGAATCCACAATTAAGACTTCTGAAATCTTTGTTGGAGCCATCATATGCAAATAAAAACTCAGAAGCACTCTGCAAATTGAGAAACTGACTTCCAATGCACCCCAGATGGCATGGCCACCCAAAAAGTATTGTGCTGAAGGATGATGCTGAACTGTACAGAATATTGTGCAGGATCTGAGAGGTCTGGCTTAAGTTTCTAGCTCAGCCATTTATACCACCTGTAGTAGCCATTTAAGGTACTGTGTGTCTTCGAGACTCACCTTCTGTAGGAAAGGCAGTGGTAGCTTTGTACCTGACAGAATTTAAGATGCATGCAAGGCTGAGAAGCTCAGACACGCTAAGTGACAGGAGCTCAACAGTTATATAGTTTGTGTCTTCACTCCTTTGTTACCCCCCTGACATGTTTTCCAATAAACCTAACATGATTCAGTTACATAGAACATGTTAGAACTGGTCTTTCTCTTCTGAGGTGACTAAACTGAGTGAATGTCCATGATCTGATGTAATTCCTATACTCTTTTTGCTACCATGTTGTTTTTTCCAAATTATAATTGTATTACTACCTTCCCTACAGCTCCCATACTCTTTCACTGTTCTGTCTAAGCAGTCTAGCACTGGTGATAGTCGGCTGTGTTTGTCCAGTCCTGAGTTGCAGTCCCAATTCCTGTGCTTCTCTTCACTTATGATTTTTGTGTACCTTAAGGATGGCCTGTACACTATACATCAGTTTTATGATTTGAAAAAAAGACACCACCACTAGTCAAGCATTCTCACAAGAAGAATTTAACTTGTCTTCTAAAAGCTTGTAAAATTGTGCATTAGTCCAGTGACATGGCTGTTTAGTGGTTAAGACTTTGGGGTATTAAAAAGAATTGGTGCAGAGTAGCTGTTGGATTGCTATAAAGAAGCAAATTTACAGGGAACAATATATGTTGGAGGGTTGGGAACATGTACATAACGTTAAGCAGTTCAGTGTCTCTCTCTGGCCTCACTTTCTCTACAGCAGTGACCAGCAATATGCAGCAAGTCCCCCAGATCAGCCCTCTCTTAGGCAAGAAGTGACAATTTTATTGACATCACTGACTGCTTTAGCTTTAATTTGTTCTTGTTGCCATCATGCTCTTTGTTGCTATAGAAGCTTTTGCCCTAGAAGGTTAAAGCCTTGTACAAATCATAGAATCGCTTTGGTTGGAAAAGACCTTTAAGATCATCAAGTCCAACCATTAACCTAACCCTGCCATCCCACCACTAAACCATGTCCCTAAGCACCTCATCTACCCTTCTTTTAAATACCTCCAGGGATGAGGACTCGACCACCTCCCTGGGCAGCCCATTCCAGAGTCTGACAACCCCTTCTGTGAAGAAATTTTTCCTAATGCCCAACCTAAACCTGCCCTGGTACAACTTCAGACCATTGCCCCAAGATATTAAAAAATCCCAGTGAATTCAGTCATACAGACTTTTGTGAGGTATGAAAGCTGTGGTGGCATTGCTCTTGTTTTAGTTGGAAGAGTAGACTTGTGGTGAGGTTCTGGTCACCTTTTTCAAACTGTGGCCAGATGCAGCTTTTAAAAACATTAAATAACCTTGTCCATGTCCATATGGGTGCTAGTGACGGAGCTGCCAAGAGAGCCCAGGTAGGTCTGTCCTATCCACTAGGCACAAGCCCATGCTTTTTGGTCTCTCAAAGGGCCAAGTCTGGCCAGCTCTCTGAGGGAAGGCTCTGGTTTTCATTATCTGTTTTGACTCTCAAATCGAGGTTTTAAAATCTTGAGATCGCTACTGAGCAGATAGACCTGATTAGAATACCTGTGAAAACCTCTTAAATTGGGGGGAGGGTGGTGGTGGTTGTGTATTAAATATTGTATTAAACTTCTGAATTCCACCTTTCCTAAAATTTGTGGGGGATCAGCTGCATTTCTCTCTCCTCACTTAAGCTTTGCTGTCAATGTAGCTGCAGTCCCAAGTGTGCCCTGAGTTTATTATCACAGTCTGCCAAAAGCTGTGATACCAAATCAGGGCCTTCCATGCCCACGGGATGATATTTTGCCATAAGATAAGTGTAGTGTGTATGGAAATTCAGTTAATGGGCTGTCTCACTGGGCATTAATGTAGCATCCTAGCACAAAGCTAACCTCACTGTGCTTCTGTTTTGCTCATTACTTTGTGAGACAGGTATTGCCCAGCCATGATTGCGTTTGTCACAAGAAACAAATGAAGAAATGAAGACAGGCTTGGGGACTGCTGGGAGGTGTCAGTATAAACAATAGCATGATTTGCACACAGGTCTCAGACAGTTTGCATCCCTTTTACTTGTCAAGTTACTTTAATGAAGGCTATAAAATAAATAGTGGTGGCTATAATCTTTAGGAATTAAAATGATTACCTGGCAAGTTGCAGTAATTAACTATTCTCAGCCGGGAATCAAACCAGAGATATATGGGTAGAAGGATGCGAAAAGAATATATTAACTGACTAGGCAACAGTACCACTGTCCATCCTTTTTAGTTTTTTAAAAGAAAAAAATAAACATCTTGAAATCTTGTATCAGCAGGTTTTATGACCGCTGTCGTAATTGAGATCAGTCTTAGCAGAAGAGATGCAAGACATGGTTTATGGATGCAGTGTGTCTGGTCTGAAAATATTGTTCTGTCTTTTTTCTTACAAAAGGCTATCTAGCATGGGCCTCCCTTCTAATTAGATACAAGGCCAAGTTAAAGGGTAGGATTAGAGGACTGGAATTCTGTATAGTCACAGAACATGCCTGGTCTTCTCTTCCTTCCTCATTTTAAAGAAATTAGTAATAGGGCCATAGAATTTTGAATTATGCTAGTTCTTGACCATTTTCTGAGCTTCTTAGAAATGTGTTCTCATTGAGGTTAGGAAAAAAGTGCTGGTTTTGCATGCTTGCATTCTGTATAAGCGAGCCAATCATGATTCTGCTAAACAAAATGGAAATGCATGTAATCCATAAATACCAGGCTGTTACATGCTCATTTGACTGTATTTTGTGTTTCAGATCACCACATTATGCTTGCCCCGAAGTCATCCGGGTAAGTTGGTTAACATTCATTTATATAAATATATTTTTTTAAGTGTCACTCATTGCAAATATGTAGACAGACCCTCTGTACAGGAAATCTGTCCAAGGCAGACAGCATTGGAAAGGACACAAGGAACGTAACTATGGTTTTGTTTGTTTGGCTCAGCCCTGAATCAAGCCACATCGACCGTATGAGGGAAGTGATCATGTGTTATTCTCACAGTACCCTTTGTGCCACGTGATCAGACAGAAATACAGTAGCCTCGTTTAACTTGATCTTTCCACCCAGGGGATGCAGTCCCCTATGCTTTCCTGTCTCTGATGTAGCTGTCGTTTCAATAGGACTGGGGTTGGCTGTCAGTGATGTTGGTTTCCGTTAAACAATATGAACTATCCTTTCCCTCTACTCTCCCTTTGTCCTCTGAAAACAAGTATCCAAGATTTCAGTGGCCAAGGTTCCCCTCTTTTAAAGCATGCCTTTAATGTAAAGCCAAGGAGGAAGCGTACAGAAGAGACTGTCCAGACAATATTATGAGTTCACAAATAATGTGACTGGTGAAAAGCTCCCTGGAGAGCCAGGGAAGAGAAAAACACATTCTTGATGTCCTTAATGCACCTCTGACACTGGTTAAGTGCCAGTTCTAATCATTTGTGAGTTGTGGACCATTCCTTCCCTGCTCCCCACTTCTGAGCCTGTTCTCACAGATCACAGATAAGACTGTAAACTGTTGTTCATAAAAATGCAATTACCGGGCTGTGTCGTGGCCTCCTAGTTGGGAAGGCCACCTTGGGAAGCAGGTGGCTGAATTGAAATGTGGGGTTTCCCATTCTCCCCTCTCTTGTTCTTCAAGGATAATTAATTCATTTACTAGTGAGCAGTCTTTTGAACCTCTGTGTCATTGCTGCGCAGGGAGAAAAATATGATGGAAGGAAAGCAGACGTCTGGAGCTGCGGAGTCATTTTATTTGCGTTGCTAGTGGTGAGTCATCTTCCTTGCGCTATCCTTTAAAAAGAAAAGAAAAATACGAAAACGCTGCTGTATTTAATGGTGATTCTATTGACATCATGTACAGATGGGTTTTTTTAGTTCCCTATTTTTGTATCTCTCAGTTGCATCCTTTCCTCTTATTTCTACATCAGTCCCAAAGGAAAAGCATGAGGAAGATTTCACTGCTGCTTTGAAATGCTGCTGCCCTGCACAGGAGAGCACAGACAAGTGTGAAACTGCTTTTTGCTGTGTTGTGATGTTGCAGCATGTTTTTTGACTGGAAAGGATGTGCAGGTTACAGCTCCAGGATACAGAGAGTGTCAAATCAGTTGTCCTTCACAGGATCAAAATATGGCTAGGTTTGCGAAGTGTTTGGTTTTTCTGCGGAATGTATATATGTGTTTCAGTAGGTATATGCATACATCAACTGCAGTGTTTTATCAAGAGAAGATTTGAGTGCAACAATTTTGTTTATGCGAGTATTGGACTACTTTTTAATTTGGTACACTTGGGAATATAAAACTGAGCCAGTAGTACAAAGTTTAAATTAGTTTCCATCTGGCTCAGTAATACTTTCTTTAGTATTCAAAATGTGGCATCCTGTAACTTATCCTTCTTTCGATCAAAGTTTCAATTCTCTGTGGAATTTATTCTGATTTGCAGTGGTAATGTAATACTCCGAAACATACAACAATTGGATGTCCAGTGGAACGCAGATGGGCTTGGCATTTGTTATCAATTTCCAAAGTATAATGTAGGAAAATATAGTTTATGTTCATATAAGCATATAGCATGTGCAGATTGAATACTGTATATGAGAATAGATTTTATGTGCGTGTTAAGTTTTTTATATCTATAATAGTTCAGATGATCACCTACAATTATAAAAATAACAAGCATGAAGTCAAATTTTGGTGTCCTTGTACATTTATTAGTAAACCTAATTACTTCACTTAAGTGCTTTGTTTTGACAAAAGCATTTGTACAATGTATAATCAGAGTTAGATTCTGCACATTATTTCTGTTTAAAATACTTGAAAACTGTGAAGGATTTTTGTTTAAAAATATGCTGGTAATTTTTTCAATGGCCCAAATCAAAATACCTTGAAGTAATCTCAGTGTGATGCTTTAATTCACCTTAATGCTCTTTTTTTTGTTTTTAGTCATTACAATTCACTGACATTTTTTAAGTTTTAGATTTTTTATCTTGATGTTGCAAGGGAAGAATTTTAACTATCTCACTAGATAGCACCTGGACATCTACTGCTCCTGAGCAGCTATTTTCAGGACTGATAAAATAGAACTGTATAATGAGCTCTTAATATAACTTCTTGCATTTGAAAGAACGGAAGAGAGAATGTGTCAAGATGGCTAGGATTTGTAGGAGCAGGCTTTTCATTTTCAGGGGATTCTCTGTCAAGATTTGGTCTCTCTCTGCTGCTGCATCTTCATCTGTTCCTACATATATACATGAGCCTGCAAAATGATAGAAATAAGTCTATCATTGACGGAGAGTGCAGGGCTCTCCAGTTAATTATGTCAGGACAAACCCTACAAAAAGTCTCAAGCTGTAATAACAGGTGGGAGTAATAAAAGAGCCGTAGTTGTTACCTTCAGGAAATGCCACAAAGCAGCCTTGCTGACTTCATCGTGGCTTTAAATTACGTTAGCCAAAGTACTGAACCATCAGAATTGATTTTCCTTTAAGTCTGGAACGGTTAGGAAAAAAGTAAGTAACTCGGGAGATTGGTTACCGAAGACAGGGAGGCTCTCTCTTCAAGGCCGCTTGAATGAACAAACACCAGTAAATAGTGCCCAGTAGCAGTTGCCATCAGGTGGGCTTTCTGAGGCTTCTGTAAATGGAGCCGTTGGTCTCCGTAAACCATAGATACCGGATTGCTTATACAGATGCACTACTCACTGTAGTCAGAGCAGTGCCAGAATTGACAACTTAAAGCTTCATTATCACAGCAGCTGACAGCTTGCAGCTTCCCACAAACCGTCCTGGAAATCAAGGAAGCTCGGCACCTACTGGAATTAGGCAGTGAAAGAAGAAAGTGAGAATATCTAGGAAGGTGCAGACTCACTATAAAAGGGTATCAGCTTCAGTCAGTGGAGTTATCCTAAAGATTTCAACTTCTTTTTTCCTTTTTGTCCTTGCAGCAAGGATAGGTCTTTTGCTACTTTTTGTGGCAAGCTGATGATCTATTCAAAATGTAATTTCAGCTAAAAAAACCTCAAGCCATTCATGTAAGTGAGCTACAGTAGGGAAGCAATAGGAACTGGTGACCTGACCACAGCATGGGAACTGGATGGAGTATATTAAACAGGTAGAACGTCTGCTGCTTCCAAAGGCTAATGTTGGTTAGGTTTCTTTCAGCTGTGTCATTTCACTGCTCCATCAGAAAGAGGATGTTCCTTACTGAAAGTCTCTCAAACGCTGTTCACCTCCTTTTCAATGTCTGCAATAAATGTGTCTCAGGAAGATTAAAAATAAGGAGATGATAAACATTGCTGCTGTGAAAGTATGCCCAGGAGGAATACCAGCAGATCAAAAGCTTGAGCTCAATTTAAGTGAATCCATGCATCTTTGGTGAATTTGCCTGGAAAGGCAATTTCATATTTTGTATTTTGTTTTATACTGGTAGTCATTTTCTAATTAAAGGTCTAATAGAAAAACTGTGTTCTCAGTTTTGTTTCCTATGTTGGAGAAAATACAGCAGCACTAAGAAATTATTTATTTTCAATGGATGAAAAGGTTTTTTCACTTATTATAATAATTCATTATGAGCTGACTTCCTCTTTTCCATTCTTTCACCATGTTTATCCTGGCTTTTCTCCTTTTGCCCTCTCCAATTCCCTTTTGCTTGTCTCTCCCATCCACCGCTCTGTCACATCCCTGCAGGGTGCCCTGCCTTTCGATGACGACAACTTGCGGCAACTGTTGGAGAAGGTGAAACGTGGAGTGTTCCACATGCCACATTTTATCCCCCCAGACTGTCAGAACCTTTTGCGGGGGATGATTGAAGTGGATGCCTCGAAACGTCTCACGGTAAGAAGGCATTTGCTGTGAGTCGTGTGAGCGAGGCTTCATTTGTCACCTTGTTGCAGTCACAGTTGAATAGCTAAGGTAACTTGTTGATTTACTGCCACTCCTGTGTGTTTCCTCCTGAGCAAAGAGTGAGTGGAACTGGTGGAATCTTTGGGAAGAAGTTAGTTGTCTTCTCTTTTGAAGCATGAGGGCAAATTACCTTTGTGTCTCCTCTCTATCCTCATAATTCCATGTGTAACAGGGTGCATTTAGAAGAAATCCTTCATAACATTGTCACAGTGCTACTGACACAATTTGGAGTTCACCTGAGTTGTCTGGCTCTCCTGGTACAGCAGTTTGTCGGGGACATGATATAACTGTTTGAACGTCAAAACTGTTAGGACCGTTATTGGAAGCTTTGCTATTAGACAGAGTATGCTTTTCTTACATTTCTGACAAAAGTAATGGCTTCTCACTTCATGCCACGCAACCTGCGTTGTATTCTGTCCTGCATATGCTCTGTATTATCCTCCAGCAGCCTTCAGAGCAAGTGTCTTCTAGTCTACTCTTTCCTCTTGTGCCCTGTGGTCCTGAGCACAATTAGGCCCACAGTGTTGAGCTCCTGGCATTCAGCACTGAGTCTTTGCATCTAGGATACTTCCCATCACTACGACAGAGACCCTGCAAGGGTGAGCACTATGTAGTGATTGTATCCTTCATTAACACTGTGTTAACGTTTTAGGGAATTAAAAAAAATTAGCAATTAAAATAATTTTGGAAAGCAAGATTGCCTGCTTGTCAGTGGAGGCTTCTGCCTTTATGGGTACATTGCCCTTGTAAATCCTATTGTCAGGCTCTGGTGATGATTTTATACAGATCTACTAAGCTCACAGATTCTGAGTGGGAGTATGTATAAAGAAATGTAAATTTAAAACTCCTCCTGGTTCTTCAGTCTGCTAAAATATTTATAAATAAACTCTCAGATCAGTGCTTGGCCTCTCTGCTGAGATTGCTAACAACAGCATCAGCCTGCGCCAGCTGTGATGGTGCTTTTGGGATGCAGACACCTGTCTGCTAATAAGTGAACTGAAACTCCCTTCACAACTCTCTTTACAGTATTACCTGACAGTTGCAGCTGGATTTTTCTTTCATTCATTGCAAAACCAGATCAAACTCTATTTGGTGACGTAGGTGGAAAGTTCTTCATGCTATTACTGGTATCCCCACTTCTGCAAATCAGTAGCCATCACATTTGCAGTACGTAAGTAGCACTGATTGGGAAAAAAAATTAGGTGTTTCTAAACAGACTTTTAAAGAAAGAAATAATATTTTTCCAGGTATTTTCGTGGAAAGAACACTGCAGAGGTTAGGGCTGTACCCTGAGACACGAGGCAGCTGTTCATCATGACCAAGAAAGTCTCCAAGTCCTTCTCTACTTAGTTTCTTTCCCATAATGTAAACATAACAGTTTTTCTGTTGTTTTTTTTTCTCTCAAAGATCTTAGTGCTGATGGTTTGAGTATGCCAGGGAGCAGATCATCAGATGTTAGATCTTCAAATTTTGCCATAGAGCATAGTCCCTAAATGTTTTGAATTATGCAATACAGGAGAGAATGCATATGCGTTAAGAGAGAAAACAGTTAAAGTAAATCAAGGTCCCAGGGTGACACCCCCTCCCTCCTTTTCTTGATCAAAATGAAGCTCTTATTTCCTTAGGGAGGAAAAAAACCAGAACGGGTGGTTATTGACAGGCACTAGCCAGTGAATTGTGAATAAGAATTTGAAATAAAACATATTCAGGAGCTGAGAGCTAGGAAGAAAAAAGGCTAGCTCTTTGTTATTAGCTGCAGTCTTATTTTCATTATTTTAGGGTCTCTTGGTTTACTGTTCCTGCTGCTGTCACACTTCCCTTTCTATGCTGTTAGTGTGCCGGTTGCTTAGATTGCCAGGCAAAAGGGAGCTCTTTGTTTACTGCCCAGGAACTGGGAATATGTAGTTCATCTTGAGGAGAGATATGAATTCTATTTTAGCTGTGTCCTGTGAAAAAGGATATAAATATGGGTTTATTTGGAAGCCTCTATTCCTAGAATATATCTCACTTAAATCAGTTTGATATTTATACAAAGATCTGAGCAAAGTTGTGGCTTGGGTACAATAAGTGCAGATGTAGCCGTTACCATTACTGATCATTTGCTCAATATCTCACTGGTGAATTCAGCAGAAAAGTACAGTGAAATGTAAGGTCACTAGAATTTTTTCTTTCATTTTTCCCTTGCCTTCTCTGCTTTGTTCCTTTTTTCCATTTGTATCTCTTTTCCTGCATTTCTCTCCCTGCAGTAATTGCCATTTCACAGCACACCCACACCTTCCCCAGTCCATCTGTTAAAATGATCAACAAAAACAGAACTAGCATTCACGTTTAACTGTCATCATTCGGCTTCAGTGTTAGAGCTTGAGAGGATTAATGGAGAGGAGGGTACTCAGAATTATTGTTGCTGGCCCTTTCCTGCCTTAAGAAATAGGCATTACCTTTCTTTGTATATGATTCATTTATGCAAAGAAAACTTATTTATGTCTTAGTGGAATATTGTTCATGCTCACCATCTATTACGTGGCCTCGAATATGGTTAGTGGGACATCTTTGATCACTCTCCCTTACTGGGCCTGTTTTACTAAACAGGCTTTAAAATAAAAGAATCCATGTTTTTATCTCAGTAGACTGCAAAAGTTGATCCTGGCTGCTGGTCATGGTATTTCTGGCCACACATGTTCAGGAAAGATGAAATCAAACAAAGAATGAGTACTAAGGTGGTCAGCATTTGAAAGAGCCTGTCTGAATAGCACAGCCTAAAAGAGCTCCACTTAGTCTACACAGATGACGTCTAAGAAAGATTGTACTGGTTGTCTGCATATTCATTAGAGGTAATTACCAAGGAGAGAAGGATTATTTAAACTAGGGAAGATACTGGCACAAAACCAAATGTATGTCAAATGGCCTTACATGAAAGCAGGTTTGAAATTAGAAGTAGCATTTTAGCCATATTAGTGGGGTTCTGGGACAGCTTTCTAGTATGAGTAGTGTCAGGAGGGAAAAGTGAACTAGTTTTGAGAAGGTTTATGGAAGAGAATGAGCGCTCTCAGTGCCCCCAGTACTGCAGGATGAGGTTTCTTTTCGTTATCTGCTCTTTGGAAAATGGATGGTTTTTTTCCTTGGAGGTTTCAAATGATTCAGCATCTCTACAGTGGAGAATTACAGCTCCTGTAGTGGAATCCATTTGCATTCTCAGCTGATATTTTCTTCCACAGAAACACAAAGGCAAAGGGGGAAGAGTAAGGAGTTTTTGAGCCACTTTCCTTTTAAAGTTGGATGAGCATTATCAAAACTTTGTCTGTAGAGCAAGGTGGATCAGAGCAGATATTGCAGAATAAGCTATTCTGATAAAGCTGTTATGGTTTTATTTTTATTCCAGAGTAGAATGACTTGTCTTCCATGTTGGGTGTCCACATAGTCTGAAATACCTGTCCCTGAATATTACCCAACTTAAATTACACATATTTTCAGAACCTCCTCTCTGCTGTCTGTTTGATTTTGGTTTTTCTCACGCCTAAGGTATGCTGATGATGGACCACAGCATCTAAAGAATGTTAAAAAATGAACAAGGGGAAATACACCCTGATTCCTTTTTCATTTTTCTAGAAAGTCTTACGGTAAGGAGCCTATTACATCATTTAAAATATCTCACTTCACCACCTACAGAATGGAGGTAATTGTCCAGTTGATGTATTTAGACTGTAAGCTTTTGGCTGCCAAGGGCCTATTCATGCACCGTGCATTTAGCACAGTGACACCTTGCCCTTGTCAAGGTCCCGGGAGGCTGCTGTAGTATGGCTGCTACTACTGACACAGATTTACCAGTGCTGTTTGCGCTGCCAGCTTGAACCCTTTGGTCAGGAAAAGCCTCAGTCTTGACATTACGCAGTAGGTTTAAAGCTCAGACTAGAGGATCTTCTGAATGAAGACGATTCATCTGAGGTGTAGGTTGATTTAGTGCACAGATGGGTTTGAGACTGTTCCTTTCTGGACAGGGAAGTATGAAATTTGACATGAGTTCAAGCCCAGAAGCCCTCATCCATATCCACAGACTCTGAGAAAGTTTTTCTTTAGGTCAGAACTTTTTAGCTTGGCAACTGCTCTGCTGAGATCAGTGCCGAGGATATAGACAGCGCTGTCTTGTTTTCCATCTGCCTGTCTGTCTCCATCTGTTGTTCCCTGCCTGAGAATTCAGACGTAAGCTCCTTGGGGGAGGAGACCTCTTTTTCCGATGGGCTTGTACAGCTCTCTATCACAGAGGGTCTCTCATCTGTGAGTGGGGCTCCTAGATGCTACTTCAGTATACAAGTTTAATATATATTGGAAGTATTTTTATGTAAAACCGTGATAAAGGAATTCCCCCTGTCCTTCCATTACAGCATTTTAGTTTGCAGAAGGCTTTCCTCTGACTGTGCATGTGCAATGGATCTGAGCATGTTTTGTTGTTTCAGAAATAGCATCATGAGACAATTGCCTGCGGTGGCTAGGAGATATTAGGAAGCATTTTTACAACTTCCATAAAATGGCATTAAATTTGGCAAACTCATGTGCAAACAGCAAGAAGAACCCTCTGGGAAGGGTTGTTAAATGCCTTCGTCACTTAAATGCATTTAAACATTGTGTTTAAATGAAGGCAGGAGGAGTGAGATTAGCTCCCACTGTGTATCTCCCTCCCCTGCATTGCATAGTAAAAAGCATACAGACTTCTCCTTGTCAAAACCAATCGCCCTCCTATAACCCTCCTGTCACTTTAATGCAGATGGAAAGCAACAAAGCATTAATTAATTACCTCTAAAAAAGCGGTGAAGATGTTGGCAGCAGCAAGCACACTTGTAATAACATTTCAATGCAATTATATTTGAATCAGAATAGAAATTGGTTTTGTAGAATACTTTTCATATCTGGGATATCCCAGCGTACTTCAGAGCAACGGTTTTGATGTGGATTGAATGGCAGATGTGTAGGTAAACAGCAGCCATGAGAGCTCTCACACGCCTTCAAATGTGTATCAAGGTGCTACAGGGCCTCTCTTTCAGAAAAACGCTATGGGTTCATTAGCTTGAAGGAGATTCTTTGTCAGGGATGGGCAGGAGGGATTTCTTTTTGACATCTTCTCTGAAGGAGCCCAGAGGTTCTGTGACTAAGACATGAACTGGTGACCCTCCTTTCTCCCCCCTCTCTGAATCAGAAAGTGAAGCACTGTTGTCTGCTTTGCCATGGCATTTCTGCATATCACAGGCACAAAGGAACACTGTGACCCATGGAGACAGAAAATACAGCAGGAGAAGCAAGCATGAAAGAGGCTTGGACATCGCTTAGCTGTATCATCTGCATCTTGTCTGAAATCATTAATGTCTCTAACCCTCCATGTGGTGTATATGAAATAACGAGTAGATACGCATTTCATAGGGTAGTTTTACCAAGCAAAAGAGGTACAGTACGCTCCTTAGCAGATCCTCACAGTACTATGGACCTGATAAATAACCATGCTAAAATCCTGTGCCTTGGAAACTGTACAAAATAGGCCCTTCTTATGTTCTGTGTTTGAATCTCAGCTTGCAAAGGACCAGGAGGAAGAGGGCTGTGTCTCCAGGCTGTAAGGGGAACACCTATAATGTGTGTCTTACCTCCTTGAATTGAGCTGGTCAGGGGAGATGGCAGTGTGTCAGGATTACTCCACCTTTCTCTTAATAGTGCAGGGATGAAAGGACTACCTAAAGCAAGAGGCATCGAGATGAAGCAGAGTTATTGCAGCAGAGCTAAGGCCACAGCTGGAAGCTGTGCAAGTCTGCCGGGGCCCGTGGATGTGTGTGCTGGGGGGCATTGGTGCTCCCAGCACCTGGGCTGGTTAGAAGACAGCGAGACATGCAAGTACCAACTGCACCTCTGATGGCAGTGTCGATACAGTCTTGGTTTTAAAAGAAGGCTGTTTGCCTCTCATACCGGTCCCTCTAGCCTCCTGTCATGCTTTCCTAAGCTGCATTCCCTTGTTGCTTTGTTTTCAGGAGAAGCCCTGTCTCACTTAAAAAACGGTCTCATATAGAGCCGACCTCAGGTCTTGCTGGTTTCCCAGGCACGGAGCTGTTGTTCCATAGCACAAAAGTCTCTGATTCCTTGCTCTCTGTGGCAAACACCTACGTTCTATCTCTGAGATTTTGTTGTTTGTCCATTCTTCTTTTTTTTCTTTTTTTCTCTCTGATTCTCATTATTCTGGAATTGAAGTGGAAAGTAATAAGAGCAGGACAGCTGTCTCTGTTCTTCCTGACCAGTTTAATGGGTCTGTGATATCATCTTATAGCTGTTAGCACTTGAGTTTCCTTCCAGCTCTCCCCTGCCTCTCGCCTGGGTGTTGCACAAACACAAGCCTGTGTGCAGTGAGTACTGCACATACAATGGTGCTTCGTATCGAGGAATATGAGAAATATTATCCGCATAATGAATAATCCCTGGGCATCTATGAGAAGTTCTTTTCTACTGTGATGATGCTTTGTTCTCACTACCATTAAGAGTTTCTCTTGGAAAAAAGGGTGTTATACTTTCTTTCCTCCGTGCTTGTGGAAAACATGGTCATCGTGTAACATTTGCTGGGATCTACCATCCATAGGTGGACAAGGCCACTGTTCAACTTTGATCAATCCTTCATTACATAGTAAAATGCTCATGTGTGAAACAAGAAAGAGGGAAGTAAAATAAATTTGCAGTCTGGTGTTCAAGTGCTGGAACAATAAATGGTATTATTTTGACACAGAACCTTATTCTACTTGGTCTTTAGATTTTAATGATAAATGTGACGCCAATTGAGAATGGGTCCTGGCAGAAGGTCATATCACACATGCACAATTTATTTTGTTTATTCACATTATCTGTTTGAATCTGTTTCTATTTTCTTCTCTCTCTCTTTTTTTTTCCCCAAAACAAAACTAGAAATTAACTTTAGGAGTAAAGAATCAGCTATTATGCTCATACAGAAAGGAGCAGTTTGTTAGTGTCAGTGAGGTGAAGGGCTTAGGCTGGGAAAAACTTAAATTGCCAGAACACTTGCCTGTGAAGCCTTATACTGCATTTTCCTGGGATTTACTCCGAATTAATTCCTTATGTCCAGAATTACAGTCTCATTTCCAGTGGGGTGGCTGAGGATGAACATGCTCTTTATGCAGCATAAAGTTCCAGCTGTTTGCACAGATCCAGCTCTGGAATGTTGGGCTTTCTTGAATAAGCCTTGGATAAGGATGTCTTGTGGAGTTACCTTTTTTGTTTTACAGCACTAATTCCTTGTTTTCTTCTCCTTTACAGCTAGAACATATTCAGAAACACATATGGTATATGTAAGTAACACTTTTTTAATTCATTTTTGCATGCGTTTGTAACTGGTTCTGTTACGGGAGCTGATATTCTATTGGTCTCTGAAGAAAGAGACTGGAGTCTGAAAGCAGCTTTGGCACAGGTGAAGAAAGGGGGAGAGGACAGAGAGGCATCTAATGTGTGGGATTTTTTCACCCTTTGCAACTTACATAATTTCATCTATACATATATCAAGCCAGGAACTTTTTATACAGTGGCTAACAGTTGTTTGAAATAAGATGTTCAGTCCAGCAACTTGCTGTGCTAAAAAGATACCTGCAAGTGATGAGCAACCCCCCCCCTCCAAACTAACAGCCATATTTAGTTTGCTGTCCAAGTGCTACTGTCCAAGGCAATCCCTTCTAACACCTTCTTGACAAGAAAGCTTTCATTTGTTCCTTCTTGGCATCTTGGCTTTTCTCTGAAGTAGAAACAAAAATGATGATATTGATAAGTAAGCACCTGTGAACAAGAGCTTTTCTGTCTCGTAATCCCTGCTCCTTCTTCACAGCAAGCTAAGAGGCTGCTTCTGACCTTGTAACCTGTTGATGTGAGAGTAGTTCTGAGATTTGATTAAAAGCAGCAGTCTTGACAGTGAAACAGGAGGTCTATGAGAAAAGTACGCACATGTCTACTGGTTTGGGTATAAGGAAGATTGATGGCTTTTAAAAATGACCTTGCACTTTGTGGAGCCTTAGTAGGATTTCAAGAAACCAAAGTAAATAACTTTTTTTTTTTTAATACTGATGATAACCTAATCAAACTAAGGAGAATACTTCACATATTAAACAAGGAAATGATGCTTTGATAACTACTTCTGGGGGTCAGCATACCTACAGGTTCCCCAGGTGGGTGATAAGGAAAGTCCTGCCTTCATAATCCTATCATTGCTCTTGGGAAATACTTGAGGATGATATGAGCTGATATTTAAGCCTGTCACCAGGAAAAAAAAAAACCAAACCAACAACCCACTGCCTTGGTTTTGATTTGTTTTGTTTTCTCTAATTCTGTCTTAAGGACAATGTTCACTTCTGGATTTATGTGACTTCAATAGGACCTGAGGGCATTCAACAGTTTGTTGAATAACAGGTTTTTCTTAGTTCACCTAAAACGGTGGCAGCACTCTGCCCATGGCTTTTTCATGCTCTCTACAGTTACCAGTTGGCATGGCACCTTTTTAAACCAAAGAAGGACTGGAGTGTTGTTGCTGCAGGTATTTTTTTTAAACTCTCATGGATAAATGTAGGAGAAATGAAGGGGGGAAATCTCTAGTTGTAATCTCTAAAATACCCCTCCTATAATGGCTTACTAGCAATTCCAGAAGTAAATGCTGTTTACATCAAACTGGATAGCTGATCCCCTCTGTTTCTTCATGGAGTGAAATCAGATTACTTTCTCCGTGCTATGATCAGAACTGGAGTAAGAAATAAAATGAAATGTCATTGATCAGTTATATTATTATTCTAAATCTCCTCAGGATTTTTGTCTGGAAGTTCACTTTTCAGAGGACTATTGACCCAGGCTCACATGCACAATTAGGCAGGTTTTATTTCATGACTTTATTCGATTTAGAATTTGAAGATTTTTTTCTTTGCAGACATAAGCATTTGAACATTTTCATGTACTTCTCAATGAAGGTCGGACTCTCTAATAATTGACGCAGTAAACAGGTTTTTACCTCAACGGAAATGGCATCTGAGGCTGTTTTCAGAAGTAGAAACTGAGTTTTGCAAAAGCAAGTCTCCCTGTGTACTCAATGCAGAGAGAGAAAAGCTCTTCCAGAACTCTGTTCAGATTGCCTGAAACGAAGTTTCTGCTCAGAATAGCTTTTTTAATGAGTCTCTCTCTCATTTTCTCTATACTGGATACTTAGGATTGACCTAAGGAGGTTAACCTCCTTTGGCTAAATTTAGTCTGTGAATAACCCTGCCAACTCCAAACTCAGCTACTTTCATCTGGTAATGTTTCACAGCCTCTTTGCATTCATTTTGCCTGGAAATACTGATGCAGAGAGAGAAGGAGGGGTTATAAGTGTTTTACTCTATGGCTGTTTTGCTCATATCTGTCATTTTTAATTTATCTCATGTAACATTACTATTCTATGTAAAATCTTCATTCTTCATCATATATAGGTTACTGACCTGAAAGTTGTATTCAGAACATATAAGTGATTTCACTTAATTCTTCAAATAAATAGTAAAGCTACTGTAAAACTGAGGAAAAGATTTAACTGCAGACTAGGCAGATAGAGAAGGAGGTCTTGAAAGTTGAAATCATGATTCACAAGCCTAAAAAAATGAAAAGAGAAACCTTTCATCACCAACCTCCAGTTCTTCTTGCTCTCCCACCCAAATTAATTTAGTGAGGTTTTTCTTAAGCCTTTTTAATTGAAATAATTTATTTTTACCTCAAGTGCAGGTTATCATAAATCAGCAAATAAACGGCAGTTATTTTCACATTTTTATAAGAAAGCAAGAGAGCAAATAAAATTAGCTATTATGGTAAATGCATACTCCTGTAACACTGTGTTATTGCCCTAATTGTGAAGGTACCAAATTTACTAAAATCAGAAAAGGAGTAACCGTACCGGTTCTGCTTTGCTTTGCACTGATGCAAATGTGCAGCTCAGTGAGATTCACAAGGGAATTTCATAGAGAGACTGAAAAAGTCCGCCCTGGTCTAGAATCACAGCCATTGTATGCACCGAGCCTCACAAAAGCGGATGGGTTTTTAAAGCAGCAAATTACATTCCTGCGAGCCTTTAAAAAATACACGATTTGCGTTATTCATCATGTGACATTGTTTGAAGTCTATGTGGGCTGAAATGCAACGGATCTGTCACTCTGTGCTAGACTGAGAGTGGAACAGGCAATACAGTCATGCCAACCACGGCCCAGAGCGGTGATTTTCTTTTCCTGAAGCGCTGAATTGCGTTGCCAAATGATGAGGTGCCTCTTTGCAGATTTTGCTTGTACCTGATGAGGCGGTGTGAAAATTCCTGATGATGTCTGAGGCTGACCAGGTGCAGGGCATAAGGAAAAGCCATTTTTCAGTGCGCAGAAGATGGCAAGCTGTGCTCTCTAGCAATGGCTCCCATGCTGATTGATATACAAGAAGCTTGCAGGTGATATTCTGCTACAGACTAGGGCAACTAGGAGGATACCAAGATTTTCTGGAAATTTTCAAAAACAATAATTCTTTTTAATCTCTTTAAATTACCTTAAGGACATCTGCTTGTAATATAATGAATGAATAATTAAGCCAATACTTTTAAAAAGTGAACTCCAGATCATTAAAAACCAGAAACACTCAGCTGCTGTTCAAAGGTCCATCCTGCAAGAATTTATCTTAATGACAAGATCATCACTGGCTTTAATAGTGCAAGGTTATGATCTAATAATTGCTTATTACTTGCTGAGAGCTAGATCCTGATCCTAAGAAGCAGGAGTAGCTGCTTCTTAAAGACAGGGCACTCAAGGAATAAGATATTTATTTAGTTGAACAAGGATTTGGGACCTAGCCCTTAGATTCAGGACTATGGTGTCATTGCAGAAGACATAGACACTTCTGTGAGACTCCAAGGAGGCATTGGAAGCTGTGTTTGGCACACAAGAACAGATCACAAAGAGCAGATTCAGTCTCTGTCCTGTATATTCTGCTTCCAGTCCCCTAAATTGAATAAAACTGAGCAGAGTGTGTGTGTGAGTGCTCAGTGTAAGAGAAGTGGGATCTGACCTGGTGTTGTCATGACCCATGTAACACACACCAGAGTCTGACTCCATGACATGCATTCAGGAAGGGCTGAGCACATTTTCACTGCTTCAAGAGAAGATAAAATGAAAATTTTGGAGGAGTCTTTCTCCAAGTGGTGTCCCACAAACATGGTTAACAGAGCAGATGTGTCACAACTGCATTTCAGCTGGCTTAAAAATAAATTGCAAGTAGCACCCAGCAATCTCCTGTGATTAAGGTGTGGCATGTAACTGTCCTGTGCCAGCATCAGAGCCCTGGCTGCAATGGCTTTAGTACTGTCTTCTTACGCTGGAGGTGATAATCTGCATTGGCTCTCTTTTTGGTACTCTGGCTGAGACCTTGAGCTCATGTGTGTGTTCCTACCAGACCTGCTTTCTAACCTACCCAGGAAAAATTAGGTGCATTTGAATTGGAGATCCTCTTTCACTGTAGATACTTGGATAGCTCACATCTGAGCCCAGAGCATTTTAAGCTGTGTAAGTTCACAAGTTGTGTTCACCTTATTTCTGCCAGCATCAAAAGGAAGAATCTCTTGCCCAAACACAGCCCCATGAACAGCAAACACTGACATCTGATGCTGTTTAAATATTCCCAGTTCCTGTTGCCCACCCCGGGAGCCTGGACCCAACAGTCACACATTTACATCACATGAAGGAAAGAGAGGGCCTCACCCACAGAGTAGGAAAACCTCGACATCGCACAAAGCATCCATTGAGAAATAGCAAAGGTTCAGGGTAGACAGTTTCTCCAACCAAAATACCACCACCGCCAAACCCACCTCTTTGGGTGGATAGAGTTTACATAAATTGCTTACTGCCTACCTAAATAAAATCAAAGGCTATTCAGGGTGCCTGCAATATGTATCATTCAGTCAGTTATAGATACCCTGACACCTTGACCTGTTTCTTACAGTCAGGGCCTTTAGTTGCAATGAATAATCAATATTTCCTGAGTCTAGTGAATGGGATGAGATAATTGTGCAGGAAGCCTGTGTTAACTTACTTTTAAAAAAGAGTAATATGCTCTACCGCTAACGGTGTATTCCTAGGTCTGCCACCAACCTCGGGCATCACACTTGGACCACAAGTTTCAGATCTGAAAGAGAAGCAGAGATTGTCATATTTGGACATGTAAACAAAGAGCCTGGTTTCCTCAAAACCCCTTTAAAGTGTGTCAGGTGGGAACCTGAACACTGAGGTCTCTTAATCACATTGGAAGCTTTAAAGAAAGAAACTGCTGCAATGCCGTTTATAATCAGAATTGGTGAAAAACAGTGATGATTAGTTCACAGCTCCTTCTTTGAAAGAGAATCATTCAGCTTGCAGTTTTCAGCCTGGTAGCCTGAGGTCAGACCTGCTGATGAGGCAGCATCTCTAAAACCACGTAGTGCTTTATAAATGTTTGGCATTAGGATGCTGAACAGCTGCTTAAATTATGAGGGCACTGGTAAGTGAAGTTCCTACTGCCTTCTGACTGAACACAGACATTTCTCATTAAAGACCCAAATCCGCAAGGTGCTGGTCACTCTTAGCCTTCACGGTGGTTTCTTCTGAGAAGAATATCTGACTGGTTGCGAGCTCTGGTCTCTCAGTGGGAATTTAACAAGCTATTTCCATCTGTTGCTGCAGGCTGTGTTTAGAGTATGGGTTGATTTGTGACTCACGTTTCTTTTCTCTCCTTCTTTCCCTGCCCTCTTTCTCTCTCTCGTCTTCTTTCTCTGCAGAGGGGGTAAGAATGAGCCAGAACCAGAGCAACCAATCCCTCGAAAGGTGCAGATTCGTTCTCTCCCTTCCTTGGAGGATATTGATCCAGACGTGTTAGATAGCATGCACTCATTAGGCTGCTTCCGCGACCGAAACAAACTCTTACAGGACTTGTTGTCGGAAGAGTAAGCACTTGCTCAGTCTTAATACCAGTTGGGTGTCCACGGGCTGGGATGCTTATGAACCTGGGGAGAGGTAGAGATCACTTTAACGTGCATCTCACTGTGAGGGACCAGTAGCAACTTCTCGCCCTCTGGCTGCTCATTTGCTAGTGAGGTGTTGGGAGCAAGCACTAAGCTTTTCTTGCACTGTGTGTCAGAAGCTCACAGCGTGACCAGCAACGGAGGCATGGTGCTATCTCTTCCCTTGCTGCCAGGCAGGGTCACTTCCTGAAAGGATGGGCCATGCAGTCCAAATGGGGAGGTATCATTGCTCTTACTTGTGTTGGATATGCCTTTGTTGGCGAATTTTTATTTATTTCAAGCTTACGCCTGAGAACTGGTGTATTTCCTTAGAGGCTCAGGAGACCTGTCTTGCTGCTGCTCTTGGTTTGGACTTCCTGTGGACATGTTACCTCGTCCGTCCTGTGCCTCTGTTCTGTGTGTGTAACATGGGAATCATACTTCCTTTTCTCACTAGATGCTTGTTGGAGACAGCAAGATTCTCAAAAGCTTTGTGGGTTGTGTATCTAGCTGGCAGGTACATGACCACTTCCAGCTTATTTAGAATAACTATAACTGTTTGTTTGTTGAGAAGGGTTTATCTACATGTTGATGTTTTTTTCTCTTCAAATCTAAAGATTTTTCTTCTTTTTTTTCAGAGAAAACCAAGAGAAAATGATTTATTTTCTTCTGCTTGACCGGAAGGAGAGGTATCCTAGTCATGAAGATGAGGATCTTCCCCCTAGAAATGAAATAGGTACTACAGATATGACCTCTGTCACCATGAACCCATCTCAGCTAGTTCCTCTTCACCTTTTTTTTTTTTTAAATATTTACCCAAACCCTAGCATCACTGTTACCTTCCCACTGAAATAGTGTACAGTATTGGTAAGAATCCTCAGCCTGAGGCACGCAGGTCCGTTCTGTGGTTAAACGTGAAGGCTTTGAAGGCTTCTTTTTTCAGGACATGTCCATCTCACAGTGCAGAAACATCCAAGCTGGTTTTGAACCAGATCTTAAAAGAGATCATGTGGACCCACAAGCTGGATCTATGCAAGCAGATGAGGTTTAGAAGCAGTGTAGTCTAGTGGCAGAATTTTCTAATTACTAATCTACATGCAGTAGTGCAGAAATGCTGCTTCTGGACTTGAACTAGTAAGCCTGTATGGCATTGCATCCCTATAGAGTTTTACATATACGCCTTCTCTTTTCTCTAGATAAATACATACACTGATGAAAGTATGAATAATATTACATACCCGTTTATAGTACGTACATCAAACTCCCATGTTTTTAGAGTATCTTAGAAAGATTTTTAAAGCTTAATATGCAATAAGATTATATATCTTATAAAGCTCTGGTAATACCACTTTATTCCTGAAGAATTGTTCATTAGTATTTTAGGGTTCTGCTGATCACCAAGGACTTCACTAATCTAGACAACAGGAAAAATGCTTCCCTGAGGAGCTAACTATATAAGTGACTCTTGCTGTGCAGAGTGACAAAAGTTTAACTAATAAAGGATTAGTCGCTTCTATTAATGACCTGAAATAGCATTTTTACAGAGTAGCATTGTGATTTTCAGGTATTGTATTTCAGCACTTTGAAGGCTAGAAGCAAAGTGCTCTTTATTTTCACTGGAAAGCCTGGAATGTCCCAAGCCTACAGGGCAGTGGTATATTGAACTGTAAGTTTGTTAATACTCTGATGAATTATTGTCTTATCCAAGTTCCAGGCTCCAGGTCCTATATTTCTGCAGGGAAATCTCTTCTATGGGAGAAGAGATGGAAATTCTTAGTCAACACAGTAATTTTTAAACTCTTACCTGGATGGAGCTACAAAGAGAATGTTAGCAGGGATCCTATTTAAAGATGCGTAGATGTGTCAACTGCAGGTCCTGTGGTCAAAAACCCCTTGCTCAGTGCAGTTTGTCATCTAGCACTTTACTAAACAGCTTTTGGCTCAAACAGATTATCCTGCAATGTAAGGACACCATCATCTTGGTTTAGAAATGCTTTTGTCATAAGAAAAAAGGAAGATGACTCTAGAATCTTCATATCCAGCATGTAAGTGAATACATAGCTATGCCCTAAATACATCATATATCTCTCTTCCACATGCCACAGCTATTTTCATGGTTTGAACTGAAACATTGTGCTCTACTCTTGTATTTTTTTGTACAAGGAGTGAAAATGTTCTCCAGCAGGGAAACACTACTCTGAATGTATCATTGTGCCTCATCGGCACATTTTAGACGCTTTGAGCATTATTCTTTGAGTGTCTTAGGTTGTATTTCCTCTTCCACAGGGGATTTCCACCTCCTCTGTTCCCAGCAGTATCTCTGAGAACATGGGGCAAGGTTTAATTAAGAGCAGTCATGCTTATGATGAGTATCTCATCATTAGCCATTAGCAATGGCCTTGCACAAACAAAGAAGAGCAGAGAAAAAGTAACAGATTTAATAATAGCAACTTGAAGAAACCACATTCATAAGAGTTGTGCAGTACCTGAGCTCTTGCCCCCGCCTCCCCCCCACCAAAGAAAGTGCATCTCAGAGTATTTTGCTTTTTCCTCTTTTTTTGCGTGTTAGGTCTCAGAAGGGATGGATGCAGGTAAAAATATGGCCAGCTCAGACTAGCACTCTCTTCTGGTGTCCCTTTTTTATGTTTCAGCTGTATAAAGCTTTCTCAAAGGGCCGTAGAAGGGCCACCTTCACCATCTTTCTAGTCAGCTCCATTTTCTTTACCTGAAAACATAGAAAAGAGAAACTTCTCAGTAAAATGAATGAATGTCAGCTAATGTCTCCTTGAGGAAAAGGCTTTTGTGGGGTGGAGCTTTTTAATAAACCAGAGAACAAGAGATTGGGCCAGAATAGCCATATAGAATATAGGTGCCTCATCCAAACTCAGAAGTTGAACCTTTATTTCCCACCTTCCAGATCAATGTCTTCATAATTGGATCATTACCTATAGGATTCTCTCTTCCTCTGTAAAAATCCTTATGAATAGCTTCACTTTTCTGATGTGAAATAAAAGGAAAATCCATCCCCAAAACTATCACAGATCCAGACTAGGACTTGACTTTTTCTCCCCATGTGAAATATTTCCAGAGAGTCAAGAAGAGAAGGGCAAGCACCAGAGGTTTTCCTATTTTTAATTCCTGTGCTTCTGCAAAATCTTCTACTGCTTTTATATGACACCACTTCAGTCTTTATGGCAGGATGGCTGTGTATTTAACTATTTCTTTAGTATCTTTAGACTTGACAGTGATGACAGACTCAGTGCCCTGTTTTTGCTTACTCAGACCCTTTTAAAAAATATGTACCATACTTGCTACCCTCAGCCTAGTGTAGGATTGTAGCCAATTTTAAAGAGGAATCAAATACGTTTATTAGAAGTTCAACCACATTCATGCAAGCTTCTGGATATATTTTCCATCGAACCTTTGTGAATTGCTGTTGTTGAATTTATTGGTGTGTTTCACCACCTGCTCTTTTTGCTTAGTCTCTCTCTTTGATAGTTTAAAATATAGATTGGAAATCAATATCTTCCAGCATCTTGAGCATCAAGGACGGATGTAAAAGAACGATTTAGCTTGTTAGGGATATCCTTCTCTTTCTTAATTGTTTGGTTGATTCCCTCATGGTCCCTCTGGCTACTGTCCTTCTCTCAAGCTTTATTTTTCTGATGGCTGTACAAAACACTGTTATTCAAGCCTTTAGCTAATTCCTCTTCAGATTTCTTCTTCCCTCTCTTTTAATGTCCACCTTAAATTTGGCCTGTCACTTTTGTAATTGTCAGCTAAAATTCTGTTTTCTAAAGTCTTGTTTTGAACACACTTGGATCAAGTTGCCTTTTAAAATATCTGTTCATAAAATTATTTTCTTGCCTTTTTCCGTCTTTCATGTTTAGACTTTATTGTTAACTAACAGTGATGCAGTCCGAGCTTACTCATCTCCATTCTTTTGACATTAGCTGCTTTCTTCATCTTCGTTTTTCTTCCTTCTTTTTCTTTTCTTTTAAACTTTTATTAAACTCTTCCACCTCCCTTTCTAATGTCTGATATCCCTCTGCAAAACTTGTATCAACTCTCTGTTGCTGATACCAGACATAATTGCATTGCCATTGTTACGCAGCTCTAGTCACACTTCTGATACCAGCTCTTGTCCTATAGGATGAACCCTTTCTTATTCTTTGAACTTGTTTGAATAAGCAGGAGTTTGAATTATCTAAACCTTGTCCCAGCTTACTTTTGACCACTTAGACATGTGCAGCAGAAGTCACCCAGTATAACTGCTTTATTAGGTTTATTTCCCTTTGTTTTTCCCTTAACTTTATGCACTATATACTTTTCCTGATCTGGAGATCGTTACCACTACTAGTATTTTCTACTACCTTTTTATTATTGAATGTAGTTTGAAACAGAGATACAACTGATTTTTTCTAATTAATATTTAACAGGAAAATTATTACTATTAATACAAAGAATATTTGGGTTATACAGTAATGGGGTCAGTTGTTATCACTAGCCCATTTGCAATGAGCTGTCTTTGCTCATGCTCATTGTTTCAAGAATAAGCCCTGTCTTAAAGGGATCTTGTTCTAAAAAACATGATGTGAGAGGGAGAAGAAACAAGCAAGTAGATGGGGGGTGTGAGGAGGGCAAGATAATAAAAATAATACCATCAGACTAGGCAGCAGAGGTAGAATTGTCAAACGCAATATTAACTGGTTTTACAAAGGAGTCCTGACAGAGAAAGAAGCCTTAGAGGCTGGGCACTGTGAGCTTCTTTCTAACTGCAGAGGTGGTCACCCTCCACTAAAATTAAAAATGTGTCTATAAATAGAGGCAGGGAACTGAAATAGCCCAACCAAAGAAAAGAAAATCTTTCTGTATTTTTTTTCTGCCTTCCTTCTTTTTACTGTTTTGATGCCATGAGAAATGTTAGTAATAAAACATCTCAGCAGGTCTGCATTTTGTTGCCTGCTTCACCATGTGGAGGTGTGTATGGTTTGGCAAGTCACCTAGGAACACTTTCTGCAGTGTGGTTTGGTATCTAAAGACTCATTTCAGAGCAATTTAGGTGCTCCTCAGAACCTCGCTAAATGTTTGTCAGCACCTTTAGGAATGAATTGCCTTTAAATATCTCATTCTTATGCCTCAGTTTTCACTCTGCAAAGTGAAAGTAGCACTTCAATACCTCATAGAAATGTTAGACAATAAAAAGCATAAAGCACTTCAGTTACTATAGCAGTAAAAGCTGTACGATAACCTCTGAGATAAATTTTAGTAGCTCTCATTGGAGATTCATCTCAGGTAGACAAATATGTTTAATTTGTAATGCTGAAGGAGGAAAAATATAAAGCAGCGGGGAAAACATGAAATCTAATCCTAGAGATGCAAAAAAAGGTATGTTTTCAGAGGAGAATGCAATTCTGAGTTCAGAGTGTACTCATGTCTCTGTGTCACATTTAATCTAGCTAGCAGGGACATTGAAGGCAAGCTCTAGCAACTTGAGTACATATACAGGATCTGTAGATGGCATATACTCTGCCTAACAGCTTGTGCTATAGCCCATGCTGTCATCTTGTTATTACTGTTATTAGCTTTGTAAGGTAATTTCTGCATGCTATGCTCTAGTTGTACCTTTATTTTACAGTGCTCATACATTCAGGGCAGTAGCAGTGCTCCTTCTGTCTGTAGATGGATTGCAACTTCTGTCTTAATGTTTGCAAATTTGGAAGAAGGGACAGACTGCAAATTATCATCTCCATCACAAAGATACTTGTCTCTGTAGGGAAGGTGTGAGAGTGAGATGGTTGAGAGAGGATTTAACCAACCTGTGTGAGGTAAGTCACAGCCGAATTCAGCTGACAGCATTTTCTTTTCATAAAGATCCCCCCAGAAAGCGTGTGGACTCCCCAATGCTGAACAGGCATGGGAAGCGGCGGCCAGAAAGGAAGTCGATGGAGGTTCTCAGTGTGACAGATGGCGGCTCCCCAGTCCCTGCTCGCAGAGCTATTGAAATGGCACAACATGGACAGAGGTGGGTCTCTTCTTTACCCAGGAGTCCTGCCTGTCTGGGTTTGCTACCCACTTTTACGTTACACATACAAAGGAGCTGTGGAGCTTTTCTATTCACACCGGCACTCATTACAACTTCCAAGCACATTTGCAACATGATCTGGCAGCCAGCAGCCCTTATGCACACAGGACCAGAAGTCCTGCCAGGGACTTAAGGGTTCTGTTTGCTTGCAGCTATTGCTCAAGAAACCACCACGTTCTCTGGGCAAGATTCATCTCATCTCTTTTTAATTGTCAAGAACATAGGCATTCAGTCTAAGCTTGTGATACAGGCTGCCACTCTTGACAATGGGGACAGATGAGGGCTTTGGGAGGTCTCAGATACATATGTCCTCTGTTCCAACAATCTTAGACAGGATAAATTACCCTCTGGTTGTTCCTCTCTGTCTCCATAGCCTACAACAGGAATCTAGATGACTATCCTGGATTAGGTGTCTAGCTCTTGGGCACCCAAAGTTAGATGAGATGAACCCCACCCTCCATGTCATCAGTACAGCTTGAATCTGGAAAACCCTGTCTAGGCATCTGTAGATGCCTCTGAAATGTGCTGTGAGAGCCAGCATGCATCTGACCCACATAAATTACCACATGCCTGTAAAGTGATGGAATATGTATAATTTTGCCTCTTATCTATCAAAGAAAGTGTCGTTTTTATGGAGCAACAGAAGAGGAAAGTGGTGTCTCCTCAAAGCAGGTTCTGGGAGAGTAAGTGAACCATGGAAGTTCACTTACGTGAACCATGGAAGTTGCTTCCTCAGTCCCTATGACTAGCCTAAGGGAAGCACGTGAATTTGGATTCACACTTGCATAAATCAATCAATATAAAAGAACACTTCACATAATATGTATGCTGATAATGCTGTAACTTCTGTTTCAGCTTTATGACATGATTTTTTTGTTCAGCTGTTAAGATCTGCTCAAAAAGAGCCTGCTGTGCCCAAAAACTCTCTTTGCTGACTGAGGACCGGGTGAAGAAAATGAAATAATTTCACGTCCAGAGGCCCCTAGAATTGCTGGAAAGTTTTGCTGGCAACTGTTAACAGTTCTATCTACATAGAAAATATGGTGATTTCCAGAATCTGCTAGGACTTATCTCAGACTGGATATGTGGCCTTGAGATACCCTACCATAAAGATTTTTTCATTGTAGTGTAGGTTGGAAACATGTCTTGAATATGTGCTTTGCTTTGAGGTCTGGGTGAAGGAAGTGTTCAGGACAGGGTGCGCTCAGTGTTCCTCACAAGCCTCCAAATGATGAGGTTGAACGCAACACTGACAAACAGTTGCTCACTCCTTATTCAGCTTGCAGTGTTTAATCTGGTACCTGGTACATGCATTGGCGATGAAGCTCCCAGAGCCAGACAGAGGTGAATCACTTTTCCCCCACCCAAAGGCTGCCTGTGAGTTGCAGTACTCTGCAGCTGTTTACAGTAAGTGTCCAACCGGGTGGAACAAATGGGAGGTGTTAGATTGATCCCGAAGTTTTCTGAGAGCTGAAACCTTCTCTTCCAGCTTTCAGCTTTGACTTTGGATTCAAAAGTCTGAAGAGGCAAAGCTGTGTCTTGCTATCCAAAGTATTTCTTTTGCTTTTAAATGTCTCAGGGAATTCTGCACATGAGGGAACAATTGAAGTCAAAAGGTCTGAGATGAGTTCAGAGCAGAGGCATATCCAGGCTACATATCAGTAAAGAAGGGCTTTGGCTTAAGGAGGAGGTGAAGCCTGCCAGGCACAAAAGAGATACGGGGCAATGCACAACGCAATTCAGGGCTGGACATAAAGGTGTGATTAAGGGTGGAGAAAGGGATGTAACAACACGGTGATTGATGATGATGGGCTTGGTAGTGCTTGTTTTGGAAGGGGTTAAAGGGAAGATGTTATTTTACTCCACGTGTGAGCTTCCATAATTCATACCATCCACGTCCACAGATGACACCGGCACATTTTGTGTTGCTGGCAGCACAGTCGTTTATAACGTGAACTGGCTTCATTAACGAACACTACTGCATGGGGATTGTCTGGGGACGATGCATTGCTGATGGGGCACCATCTGTCAGAACAGTCAGTAACAAAATGACAAGTGCCTTCCACCAAGAGTGGGGGATATTTAATGGCTAGTCGCATATTCTATTCCATGAAATGGCCCACTGACAGTGGATTTTACAGCAGTAGGGCTTAGATCCCAGGAGTGGATGCTTTTTTAAGAATGACATTTTTTGGTCTCAACAAATGACTATTCAGTGCTTTTATCCTACAATACTAAGAAGACAGGGAGGTGGACCATGGAAACAGGTCTCATGTTTAGACACAGATGATGTGTAAACATCTGGAGACACAGAGCCATTGCTTCTTTCTTCAGCTGGCAGAGATACTCCTCTAACCAGTGGGCAGAGCACACCCATGTGTCTTGTGATTTAGTCCTATTGTCCTCTTTCCCAGTAATAACCCGATATTTGCTTGCATAAAGGGGATTTATGTTATAACCTCTGGCTTATGTGTCTGTGTGATGAACTGTGCTTTTGGTAACCATGTGGGGACCCTACAGGTATCTAGTCTTGGCTTGTTTAAGGGCATATCTTTCCACTGAGATTTGAAACTTGGCAGCCTTCAGTCCTACAGGGTGGAAAGTATTAAGTGAAAAGCATAATCCTTCAGTGACTTAGTTTTCGATAACGAAGGAGGGGAACTTAGCACAGAGGCTGCTTGTAGAGCTTACATCCTCCTCGAAATGCTTGTGCTGACCTCTCCAAGTACTCTCCATTCGGTCTTTGTATACGGCAAAGTTAGTATGCACAAACACCAGCCACCCTAAAACTGGTGGCTAAGTTTTGTTAATTCTTGGTTTTCCCTGCTAGTTGTCAACTAAATGGGTTCATAATTACATTTTAATTGCTTCTGCTGTTGTGGTATCCACACCTTTCAAACTATCTGCTATTGCATTGAAATGTCAAAAGAAAAGAGGTAGATTCTGAGCTTAGTTTAACACCAGCTAATTTGTCCCTTGTGCCAAAATCACACAGACTAGGAAGAGTTCCATGGGAGCTAGAATCCCTCGCGGATATGCCAGAAATTTTCAGCAGCTCTGCTGTGAGAGTCCAAAAACTGTTCTAAAATGGGCTTCATTAACTATTCATTTTCTTCTGGTTATTGAAGTGGATAGCTTGCATGAAAGATCAGCTAACATTAGGAAGCAGTGTTCTGTGAAACAGTGAAGCATTACCAGTGAAACATATTGTAGAGAGCTGCACCTTTAGCAACGCATAGGGAATTTTGCTTCTAAGCTTCAGGGATTCAGACCCAAGATGATAAAGAAGGGCATTTCTCTATACACTGAGTACAGGGGAGAGAGTTGGGAGTAAGTGGTAATGGACCCTACAAATTAGAATACAAAATGGATTACTGTTCCTCTAAGAGGCTCTATGGTCTGATTTTAACATTTTCCCAGATTGTGCTTAGTATTGAGGTCTTCTAGAAAAGTCTGAATAATAAGTGCCTTGCAATTTGTGCTTTCAGGCATGTTCTATTTTCCCTGGACAATGTGACAAAGTAGATGGTACCTGGGTTTTCAATTGGATAAAGGAGAGCAGGGGTTACAAGGATGTATGGAGGAAGTCATCTTAGACCTTAGAAGTCAGGGGAAGATGATGAACTTCAGTGCTGTGTAAGCTTGAGCCATAGTTGGAAAGTAAAAGAAAAGTTTTTCAGAGCATTGCTTAAAAAGGGGAGGATGGGTTGGGGGGCTGGGTGTCCAGCATTGCTTCAGGTGACTCTCTTTTATGAATGTCCACACTAGTAACTCTGTTTTCTCGCTTTGTTCCTGCCATAGTAAAACAATGTTCAGTAAAAGCCTGGATATCTCTGAAGCCAATCCCAAATTCAACAAAGAAGAAAGGTATAAACACTGACAATATGTTCCTCTCCTCTACCTCACTGCTGAGACCTTAAAGATGCAGTACTTACCTTCTCTGTGTGGGGACATATGTTCTCTCTTTAGAGAGAAACAAAGAGGGTGGGATATTTACAGCCCCACACCACATATATTTTTGTACAGTACCATTTATTTGAGGCTATTCCCAATGCAGCCTGTGACTGTACCAACATTTTCCCCACTAAAATTTCATCTACTGCTACTTCTGGTTCAGTTCTGCCATGAGTGAGGACACCCAGGGTAGAAGACATATTTGCTAAGACTGCTTTGGGAAGGATTGGAATATAAAACACAAGGAAAGCCCAGAGTGCTCCACTCCCAGCACTAGAAACAGCAGCACAACTAAGTCAGTGACAACGATGGTAGGAAACTTTGGAAATCCTATCTGACAGAGCAAAATATTAAGTGCCTGTAGGTAAGAGACAAACTCCTTAAGACTGCCCTGGCTGCACCAGAGAATACAAGAGGAAAAGATGATTGAAGATAGAGTTTTTGGAGGATGATTCCAATCTAGCACTTCAAGTGACAAATGGTGAGGCATGACAAAAACTATTAATAGAGGCACAGTGGAAGACATGCAGGCCACCAGATTTAGGGAGTTTAAGTGGACTCATGTGGGTCCATGAACAAAAAACCAAGTTTAGACTTTTGGGAAGGTTTTTAGTGGACATGTTGTTCCTAAAATTTTGGTCTCAGAGGAAGATAATTTTTCTCTAATGTTAAAAGCTGGCATCCCAATGGATAATTCTTTATAAAAATGTAATTGTTACACATTTTGGACAAACACTTAGCTTACCCAAAGTTTAGAAGTGTTTCATATGATTCAAAAAGGGGGAAGCAGTGGGTTCCTTAAAGGAACCTATGGACTTGACAAACCATTCTTCTTTTCATTTCCCCTTTTAATAGAAACCTTTCTGTTTAAAGGTAAATGTGGCCTTTAAGCCTCAGGAGACTTGTAGGATGTGTGAAGGATGTGCCCTGTTTTGGCAGATTGAGGCAGTCCTTTGTGGGCAGTATGTCAAGTCTTCAACCTTCCA